CCCTCAACTGAAAACATAACCCCACCTTCAGCTGTTCTGTGATCATCCTTGAGAAAACCCTGATTATTGCTAATGAAACATGGAGGGGACTCGTTTCCTTCAGTGCCGGTCGAAGCCAAGAGATTATCCCCAAGCAAAGAACCAGAACCTTCACTGCAAAGAAGCAGGCATTCTGACTTTCATGTTTTATTTTTTGTGGTCCTGGGGATTGAACCCAGGGCCTTCTCACTCAGGCACATATATCACTAGGCCTCATCATTTCTTTTTTTTAATTTATTAAGTTTATTGGTAGATTTTCAGTATACATCATGACATTCATCATTGGGACTTTGTACCTACACGTGACATATCTTGCCTATTTTTTCCACATTCCCCTGCCCTCCTATCAACCCCTCTACTCCTCCTTATGTATAAAGACTTTGTTTCCGTTTTTTTTCCTTTTTTTCTCATATACTTTTTCTTCCCTTTTGAGACAGTCTCACCAAGTCACTAAGTTGCACACACTGGACTCAAACTTATAATCCTCCTGCCTCAGCTTCCTGAGTGCTGGGCTTATAGGCCTAAAGCACAGGACCACCAGCCATGGGTTGCAAAGTTGACATTTTAAATGTGACTAATGCAAAAGTTCTCTCTTTCCCTCCCTCCCTCCCTCTGTCCCTTCCTTCCTTGCTCCCTTTCTTTTTTCAAACAAGTGGTCCTCCTGCCTCAGCCTTCCAAGCAGATGGAATTATGGGCAGTAGGTTTCCCATTGAAAACTTTCTCATTAGAAAATTTCCCAAATTCTCATCCTAACTCATGTAATTTTTCTGACTCAGTTTAGTTGTTGGACCTTGCCCCACGACCATTGGATTTACATAAAATATAAACGTGTGGTCCACTTTTTCCATTTAGCATTATTTCACATATCTTTCCTTAAATTTAAAAAAAATGAGTCTTCACAGTCTGATGAATTATTTCTTAGGAAAATCCCAGAGCCACAAACCTACATACCTTCAAAAATACCAATCGATAAAATTAGTATTAGAATGCTCCTTAAATACAGTATAAAATTAATATACACACTGATCATTAACCATATATTGCTGGGCTAGTATAAGATGGACTAATTTAAGGGACTGGACGATGAGGAGATTCCAAATGCCTTTTCCTGGTGCAAACTGGTGGAGACGGGTAATGAGAGGCGGGGCGTAAGTATTAAGTATTTCTCTGGGTTGCGAATTTCACTGGAGTGCATTAGGCTCAAGTCATTAAGAAAATTTGTGCCTTTTAAGCTAACTGAAATACTGGGCGCTTAGACACCATAGCTGCGAAAACCCCTCCTTATTTGCATGGGAGTTTAAAGAAAAGAAAAATCGTATATAATACATGCACACATTCATACCTACATACATATACACACATATATAATTACACATCGAAAGCATTCAAAACACGTGCAGAATCGGCTGTATTAGTCATAAGGCTACTGAGTGAAATATATATCCTGCATCGCGTCATCTTTCCCTTGAGGTATTATTCCAAGTTCGATTGAGGCTGAGAAATAACTTGTTCTCTTGCCAGGCTTGGAAGTCAGGGACCTCCCTCGGAACCTAAGAGATGCGCCTATCTAGTTTTCTGACCGGCTAATTTACACCGACGCACACCGCCCGCCCCATCAGCAGGAGGAGCCCCTCGGTCCGGGGAAAGGATTTGACGCCTTACCGGAACTGTTTCCAAGGTTTCTACGGGTTTGGGAGGTTTTGCGCCGGCAAGCTCTGGGAGCCAAGGCAACGGAGATCTTCCCAGGGTCGCCAGAGCGCCCCCTTGTCCCGCCGCTTCCGGGACACACCTGTAGCGATGGCTCCGGTGTCCCGGTCGCGCAGCCCCGAGGGCGAGGCCTCGGGCTCCAGGGGAAAACGTCGCAGTTTGTCGAAGAGCCCCAAGCCCAGCAAATCCTCCCGCTCCCCGCGGGGCCGCCGATCTCGCTCGCGCTCTTGTTCTCGGTCCGGTGATCGGAATGGCCTCAGCCATCCGCTGAGTGGCCTCAGCCAAAGCTCCCGAAACCAGCTGCACCGCTCCCGCTCGCGCTCTCTAGAGCGACCCTCCGCGCTGTGGAGCACCCCCTTTGCGCCTGCCTGCTCGTCCGCATATTATGGCGCCTACTCTCGCCCCTTCGGCGGCGGCGACAAGCCATGGCCCAGCCTTCTGGACAAGGAGAGGGAGGAGAGCCTGCGGCAGAAGTGAGTGAGATCGCCACGCCTTCCTCCGAGCCCACCCGTCCGTTTTATGGTTCCTTCTGTTTCTGACGACTCTATTGGCATTTCGCTCACTCTTCCTGCCTTCGGCCCATTTTCATGCCTCTCTTCAGTCCACCCACGACAGCCTTTCATTCGTCCTTTTCTTCCCTTACATTTTCATTTATCCTCAGGGCTCTTCCTACGTGCCCTGGCTTTCCGACACCCCCTTTCCCCTCCTGGCTAGCAGATACCGGCCAGAGCCCAGGTGGACGGGAATTATAGCGTGTACATTACCTGGTTGGTCGTCATCATTCGTGTGCATGTTTTTATTCCTCACTAAGCTGAACTGAGAAGGAGAGCCCTATAGTATTGATCACAGAATTAGCAGTGCCTATTGTAGGAAATTGGGAAGGGTTGAAATTAAAGGTTTAAATTGGAGAGGAGGGAAACCTTCCCCTCTCACAAGATGATTAGATGAATGTGGGAAAAGTGACCAGCTAAGCTGTAGATGAAGTTTCCTGAGAAAGGTCCAGTTAAGTGGTCTCAATCTCGACCATGAAAAATGATGCCAGGGTGAGATCAGATCTTCTCTAATGAGGGTGAATATCGTAGTGGGAACGTGCATAGTTTAAGGAGAAAGGAAGAGGCTTGTAATTACAACTACGTGAGTCATAATATCTAATTTTATTGTGTTAGGCATTGTACTAAGCCATGCACTATGTGTTTGAAAAACGAGAAATGTTATACAGTATTATAGGCATTGAGGGACAGGTTAAAGTTCCAACAATCCAAAGATGCCTTCATGACTCTTTTTCTTCCAGAGGTGGGAATATAAATTATGGTGATAAGAATGGCAGGTCCCAGAAACAGACTGAGTTTGAAGACTTTGCCACTTTATTTGCACTGTAGCCTGGGGCAAGTTACTTAACCTCTCTGAGCTTCATTTCTTCACCATAGAAAAGGAAATAGAAACCGGGGATGTAGCTCAGTGGTCCAGTGCTCCTCTAACACTCAAAGCCCCGGGTTCCATCCCCAGCCCTGCAAAAAAGGGAGGGATAAAATTACTACCAAGGCTTTTAAAATTGTAATAATTTAGTGCCTACAATATAAATATTCCATAAGTTTTAGCTGTTAATGGTTCATGAATAAGAGCAGAAACAGTAACAAACCAGTTAGATTAAAAACCTGTCTTTCCGAGTTAAATTCAGAAAGACATTCACGGTATGGTCATCAAAAAGCCAATGGCTTCTTCCTACAGAATCCTCACCAAAAAATGTCAGAATTGCTTGGGTGAAATTTGCAGTTTTAATTCAGAAGATAGTTTAACTTTACAGATAAAGCCAGGTGGTAAAGCTTCATGATTTGTACAGTTCAGTAGGCATTCTTCTCCCATATGCATTTATTTTGGAATAAATACAGCTATAATTATGTCCCGTTTAGATTATCTGTTTCTTCCAAGTGGGAAATTTCTCCTGAGTAAAATAAAAAAACTCAAGCCAATTGTATTTATTTTGTAAGGATTTTTAAAGACCAATGGAGTCACAAGCAGCCAAATGTTAATGACCTAAGCCTTAGAGATTTGGGGTTTGTCCTGTTTTACTTTATGAATGATAGCAAAATTTAAAACAAGAAACTACAAACATTGTAAAAGAAAAAAATTTTAATAGCCTCCAAAGTGTAAGAATGTACTCCTTTTCCAAAAAGGAACTAAAAAGAGAGAATAAACCTCATATCTGAGTACAGTTTTTGTCAAATGAATTTTTTCTTTTGTTTTTAGAACTCTGTTTTCTACTTCTAATGCTGGACTTCTATTTTATTATTTCCTGGATTTCTAAAAACTGAAGGTTTGACCAAATCAAAAGAGACTTCTCTTTACTTTTATAATCATGTGTAAACAAATGAAGTTATTTCTAAATGTTAAACTTTTCCGTCACATATTGCAGGCAATGAAATGAGCAGTTAGAAGCTGTCTCATGCACTTGGCACAAGGGATGCCCTTGACAATCTCCCAGACTGTCCTTTCTTTTTTTTTTTTTTGGTACCAGTTATCGAACTCAGGTCCTTCTGCTTGCAAGGCAGGTCGCGGAACCACTGAGCTAAATCCCCGGCCCTAGGCTGTCCTTTCTGACCTCGCCATTGAGGCCATGTACAGTTTGTACCATTTAATGGTATTTTCAGAGCATCAAATCCTAAGCAATGAGTTTCAATTTAAAGCAACTTTTTGTTAACTTTTAAAATATACAGGGAAAGCCAGGAGGCTGAGGCAGAAGGATCTCTTCAGCCTAAGAGTTTGAGGGCAGCCTGAAAAACAGCAAAAACTCATCTCAAAAAAAAAGAAAGAAATGAAACCTATATGAAAAATAGGACTTAACTGGAATCCTGTTGAATTTGATTATATGTAATATTTAGGAAATATTCAATTGAGTTATAATTTAAATGTTTGTATCTTCTAGAAGATTAAGTGAGAGAGAAAGGATTGGAGAATTGGGAGCTCCTGAAGTATGGGGACTTTCTCCAAAGAATCCTGAACCAGAGTAAGTGGTTTAAAAATACCTTATTAAAATATGTTACAAGCCAGGCATAGTGGTGGACACCTGTGATGCCAGCACTCCATAGACATGGAGGCAGGAGAATCATTGCAAGTTTGAGCCCAGCCTGGCTACATTAGTGAGTTCAAGGACAGCCTGAAATATATAGCAAGACCCTGTCTCAAAAACGTATGTTACAGCAATAATTTAAATCCTGAGTTTACTGTGAAATTTTTGTTACATGAGGAACTTTACATCTCAGATTTTTTTTCTTCTTTCATGTGATTTATGCTATTCTAATCCTTAAATTTTAAAAAACCTGAAATATAGCTAAGGATTAAACATGTTGCTGGAAGGGGAACTAAAAAGAATGGAGATATATTATGTACATGCACCAACTCCCCATGATGATTGTAATCATTATGTACTCCAAACATATACTAATAAAAAATTTTAAATTAATTAAAAATGAATAAATAAACATGTTGTTAGTGGATTTTAGCACACTAATTATTCTCTTTAAACTGTAGCTCATGGGGTGCTAATTTCCTATTCATATAAATGTCCAATGTTAAACTAAGTAATGTGTTTATATTATTTTGATTTTTTTTCTCAACTCAGGAGCAGATTGCATGCTAAATGTTACTATTACAAAGAGACTTTTGGAAATGAGTATACTAGTATGGTTTGGTTTAGTTCATTTCCTGTATTCAATACTATCTGAAGTATAGGGCTTTTGTTTCCTTCTTTCGATTTTTTTTTTCTTGGTTTGGTTTGGTTTGGTATGGTTTTTGCAGTGCTGAGGATCCAACTCAGGGTTTCATACCTGCTAGGCAAGTGCTGTACCACAGAGCCACACTACCAGCTCCTTATTTTGTTGTCTTTCGTGCTGCTCCTAAATTTCTGCTTCCCTTCCCTGAATTTCTGTATCTACTTTAAGTTGAGACAATGTGCTTAACAGATATGACTATAATTTGTGGCAGGGTGATAAAAGGTTATCATCCAAAACTTGTTCTTAAAGGTACCTTTGGAAAAGTCTTGAAAAACATGAACACATAGAATTAGAGTTGGAAAAAACCCTAAAATGAATTTTCTTGACAATACCTAAATTATTCCAGCTGTGAGTTTCAGAGGAAATAATTATATGCTAACTCCCTTTCTGAACTATTATAGAAATAAAATCCAGTTTCAGAATACTCTGGAAAAGAATGAAATCTATTTAGACTGTAGTTTGTTAGGTTCTTCATATTCTGGAGAGACTGAACAGTTGCTGATCTACCATTAGTCTTTTACATACTTAAAATCATGGGGCTGGGGGTGTAAATCAGTGGTAGAGGGCTTGCTAGCAGGGACAAGGCACTGAGTTTGAACCCCATTGCTGAAAAAAAAAATAATATCATGAAGTCTTCCAGTTTCTTTGCCTTTTAGTTTCTTTCATCTTCCTTTACTATTCTTGTTTGTCTACTTTTGCCTTGTGGTTTCTTATGAAAATATAAATCTTCCATGCTGCTTTGTTTGAATAACACTTTGTCTAGAGCATTATGCAAATGTAAGTTGTTTTATTATGAAGATACAGACCCTTGATATATACTCTTAGAAAACTGGTTCAGTGCTTGCTCTGTTCTTGGACAATCAGGACTGTTACTGAAAAACTATAAGGCCATGTCCATATTCAGTGATCCATATTTGATCACTTTTTTAATTCTTACAACTGTTTTCTTTAAATTCAGCTCTGATGAACATACACCAGTAGAGGATGAAGAACCAAAGAAAAGCACTACTTCAGCATCCAGTTCAGAAGGTATATTTTTAAATACAGAACTTTCTAATTGATGAGTTTTAAAAGTAAGTTTATATTCCCAGCACTCGGAAGGCTGAGGCAGGAGGATCACCATGAGTTGGAGGCCAGCCTGGGCTACATAGTGAGTTCAAGGCCAGCCTGAACTACATAGTGAGACCCTGTCTCAACTCTTCCCCCCGCCAAAAAAAAGTAAGTTTATAAATAGTTGAACATTAAACTTTGCTTTTACTTAAGTTCTCAATCATCTGTTCTTTTTCCATATTTCAAATACAATCGTTAATGTTCACAAATACTTCTTTAGAAGTTAGCTTTTTATTCGTTTTTTTACAGATGAAAAGAAGAAAAGGTCTACCCGTTCAAAAGAAAGGTCCAAGAAAAAGAGAAAGAAGAAATCATCTAAAAGAAAACACAAGAAATATTCTGAAGATAGTGACAGTGACTCTGATTCTGAAACAGACTCCAGTGGTAAGACAGCCGACATCATTCTGCAAGCCTCGCCTCAACTCCAGTTTTACTCCTTAAAAGCTGTTATACAAAAAGGGTTCTTAAAACAGTAGTGGCCCAAAGTTTCCCAACACTTGTTGACCTTGTGCCAGGCACCCTGCTAAGTGCTGCGTGTTCATTATCGCTCTTCCATGCACACAGTAACATCTCACGGATGAGGAAATGGAGGAACAGAGCAGGTGATAAGTGCCACACCCAAGGTCCTGGTTGTGTATAGTTGCAGGAGGAGCCTGGCACCAGATCTGCTCAGGGCTGGGCTGGGGGACGCGGTGCGAAGCAAGCTTTCCAGGGCGCTGCAGCCCGAGGCCGGGCTCCTTCGTGCACTTCTCATGCCCAGCGGGCGCCTCTGTGTCGCGCTTTCAGAGGCGCCATAAAGGGCCCCCTTCAGGCTGACCGCTCACTGACATGGGCACCTGATTTGGGAAGGTGCATCCCAGTAAGCCATGTGTTTTTAAAAAGTATTTATCCAACATACTCATTT